AGCTTTTCAAAATGAAAACAAAAAGAAAAGTAAAACTAAACTTGCTGTCGTTGACAGTGCTTGCATGTTTTTTTCCCCACAAGAATACCAACATGTTCACCTTCTCTGGTTTAGGAAGCGGTCTTTTTCTTTACTTTAGCATGAAAACTATCCATCGTTTCCTCAATATTCACGTCATTTTTGCTGCGCGCACCTTTGCGCTCCTGCTGAAGCGGCAAGTGTAAACCAGGCTCTACACTCTAAAGCTGCGTTCACACTAGCAGCGACTTTGTCGCTTCATGTCGCCAGGGGCTGGCGATGAGGTTGCTAGTGGGCGTTCTCACTTCTGGTTGCCTTGACAGCGAATCAGGTTTCGTGCAAATACAAACATTTTGGAGGCAAAAGACTAAATATAATATAAATATGAATTAAATCCGTACATACAAACAAAAATGAATGAGAAACAGAGCCTACTTTTTTCCATTGCGTATGTTTTTCTACGGCTGAGAGGAGAACAATCACATGAGCACTGCCGTCTTCTTTCCTATTAGCTGTCGCTCACGAAAGTCGCTCTTCATTTGCATAACGTTGAAGGATTCTGAACTTTGTCGCCTCGCTGGACACGCCCCATCCGGCGCCAACAGCCGCTGTCGCACTTGTCACCAGAAATTGCCAGCTCTCCATTAAAATTAATGGGATTGTGTCGCTTTGTCGCTTGTAGTGTGAACGGGGCTTAAGCGCTGCGCAGTTCAAATGAGTAGCGCGGTTCTGTTATGCTTTCAGTTTCGTTTGCCGTTTGATGTTTCTCATATGCAACAGAAATGGCAGCACTTATGAGTTGAACAATGCAGTGGTCGCGCCAGTGCGACCGCACACAAAATTTAGTCGCACAGGCAGAAAAAATGGTCGCAAAATGCGACCATTTGGTCACAGTCTGGAGCCCTGCTTATGAAAATTTCATTTCACAAACCTTGCAAACTTTGCCGAATCCTGTTGTGAAATCTTTTGAAGTGTGCATTTCTTGCATCTGTCCATGCAAATTGGATGCGGACAGGAGAGTTAAGCTGTCACTGCATATGCATGGTCAGCAGATTTTGAATTCTTGATTTTAAACCATAGAGCGCAATATCAAGTTGGCTACTATGTCATATTCATGTCATATTCGCTGTGTGCTGTATATGAAATTAGCGCTACCTTGTGTTTATTAGAAAAAAAAAAGATTCCCAGTGCGCATGACTTACCTGATCCCTTACTGCACTGCTGGTTACAGGGCTTACTTCCATTTATTCATATTTTTTGACAATTTCTTTATTTGTGGAAAATACTACAGTGTCATTTCTATATATTTGCAGCTGAATCTTTCGTGTTAATCATTAGTATGAACTTTGGTTATACAGCAGGCTTACATGAATCACAGGAAGCACGTTCTGTGCTATATTTATGGTCTTTTGGTCTTTTGTTAGTGGTAACATGTCATGCTGTTCATTCAGTGCCAGGGAATTGTCTTCACACCAGCTTTGTGTTCCTGACCCGCCTACACACAATATTGTTTTCAGTGAAAACAATCAAGATCTCTCTCCTTCCTCTCAACCTCCTCTCAAAGTGAGAAAGGAGCTATCCTTGCATGAAATTAGTGTTTTTTTCTGTGTATATAGATATGAATGCATCTTGGCATTAGGCTTAGAGAGTGTTTGTCTCTAGGCAGTGATGGTTTGTAAATGTTAACGTTATAAACACAAGCTGTTATGAATTATGTAAGCATAATTGAACATGTGCTAATGTTACACAATTTGTACTGATGGATTCATCTCAATACTTGCAGGGGGCATGATAGTTTTATAAACTTTTCACAACAGATTTCATGGTGACAGGTATCATTTTGCCACTTAATAAATGCAACATAATATTGTCGGATGTCTCAGAGTATCAATGTAATCATAACATTTTCCATTTATTTTTTTATCCATTTTAAGATTTTGTAAAATCTTTTTCTGATTGCACCATTTGTGGCCTTGCCATTTAAAGACTCCCAGAAGCTGTAGGAGCAATTTTCTCTCTTTCTTTCTTTAGCAGTCTTTTAGTGAAGTCTTTCATCTCATTCCTGTGCTGCTATTTTAATTCTTTCTCAGGTCCTAATTAGAGTCGCTGACATCCTGCTACCTTGACACCCCAGATGTGACTAATATGCAGGACAATCTGGGATTAATATTCCACTCTTATAAAGCCCTGCTAAAAAAGAAGTGAAAATATTGAGTGAGAAATATTCTGTGGTTTGTGCTATGCACTTATTAATTTCACTATGGGTGGGCTACAGGAGCTGTTTAAGGCTGTATTGAAGTCTTATTTTATCTCTGATGCATAGTTTAATGCAGGTCTTCATTAACGCTGAGCATGGCTATAGGAAGTTGGCAGAAATAAGGGTTCTGCAGAATACCGTAGCCTCATCTACACTTACAGCAGATAAAAAAACGTGCTTTTTTTAAAATGTGCTTTTTTGAACTTATGATGATAAAGTTCAAATGCAAATGGCTCACTTTTAATTGTGCATCAAATTAAAGATTTTACAGTTTTGTATTTGTAGATACTTCTGAACATATTAATATTAGGTAAACTCATTTTATGTGCTGCCACAGTGTACTAATTAAACTATGTAAAATAAATGTATCTGTAAAATAAATTGTTTAACAATGTTAAAAGCAATTTTGTGTATTTCCCATATAGTAGATAAGAACATTTTCATAATTATTTTCATGAATTTCCTTAAATGAATTAATAAAACATTAATAACTTAACAACAAAACATTGTATTTGTATATTTGTCAAATAAGATTCTGCACAAGAGAACTGTATAAATTGGCACATTCTGTTTGATCTGTTTTCTATTTGTTTAAATCAGTATTTTCCATAATTTATTTTCATCCTGTTACACTGGACGTGTCTTTAAACATCTGTTGAATTCAAAATTTGGAAACCAGTGGAGATAAATTCTCAGTTGCTTCAGCTAAAGCCAAATTCTGTGTATAAAGTCGCTCTCATATGATTCGCTCAGTCTCTGTGTATCTTCCTCTTTTTTATGTGTCTTGTGTTCATACACCTTTCTTTGGCAGTCTTTTTCATCTTAGTGGGGTGGAAGGGGATGAAGTTTAATTAGCCAACAACAGGAGTGCCAGGTGAATTGGGATATGAGAGAATCCAGAATTTCAGCTTTGGTTGAGATGTTGGAAAGGACGGTTCATCCCAGGTTACACACATGGCATCCAGTGGGTAGCTGTCAGGAACCGAATGCTGCCAACAAAAGCTTCTTTCTCACACACACTAATGCTCCTCTCATTTCCCTCTGAGTGTTGCATGCAGCATCACAGACGAGTTGCTGTTTCCTGTTAGGTGGCGCAGCAAATAAGAGACAACATTTGCATTTTATAATGAGCCATGCCCTTGATGGGTTCCCTTTGAGAGATGAGGGATTCTGTTCATTCTAATCAGAACAACAATAATCATATCATATTATTGCAGGGTCCTACTGGCTAGCTTCTTGGGAGGGTGCTAGTAGGGATGGGTATGATTACTTAAGTTCCTCAACAGCAATGATCAATCATGAAAATGCATTTATTACATTGTTCAAATACTGTGTTTATATATTGTCCACATTTACACTCCTTTTTTCCTCAGAGCAGTGACTTTTTCAGGTAACCCCCTTTAGATTTGTTTATTTTTTTTCATACACATTTTCATAGCTATGCAAATGAGGACATACCATATAACTTTACTGTTTTTATATAAAGCTAATTATAACGACTACTGACTCATCCAAGCCATACCTCTAAAAGAAAATATATACTATACAGTATATGCAAAAATCGCTCATAGTACAGTTTGGATTTTTTTTTTTCTAAGTATAGACATCTCACATGTTCCTCAAGAAATGTTTGTGGTTTTATGTTTCCATTGTTCTTTTTCATAGTTGGCTAATTCCATGGATAAATAAGTAATAATAATAATAATAATAATAATAATTCATTACAGTTATATAGCGCTTTTCTAGGCACTCAAAGCGCTTTACATTGTCAGGGGGTATCTCCTCATCCACCACCAGTGTGCAGCATCCACCTGGATGTTGCGACGGCAGCCATAGTGCGCCAGAACGCCCACCACACACCAGCTTATTGGTGGAGAGGAGACAGAGTGATGAAGCCAATCAGTAGATATGGGGATTGTTAGGAGGCCGTGATGATCAGAGGCCAATAAGCAAATTTGGCCAGGATGCCGAGGTCACACCTCTACTCTACTCTGGGATTTTTAATGACCACAGAGAGTCAGGACCTCGGTTTAACGTCTCATCCGAAGGACGGTGCTTGTTGACAGTATAGTGTCCCCATCACTATACTGGGGCGCTAGGACCCACACAGACCACAGGATGTGTATAGACACATCCATATATACAAGGTACAGATATGTAAAGACACTTTTTTAATTTTTGGGTGAACTGTCCCTTTAAATCCATCATGAGTGTCACATCTGGTTCCAACTGGCATCTTATTATTGTCACACAAATATGAAAAATCAGTTTCTCTATATGTTAAAGTTGTATGCTCCTGTCTGATTGTGGCTATACATGAACAACCATGTGGAATGAAAGACAGAGATGACTCATTGGTCATGCTTGAATATCACCTGTGCTTAGAAGGAAGCTGTGAATCAGAAGTGACCCTTATTAGAAAGTGTGCTGGCTGTCATTCACTGCGAGGGATTACCTCATTAAGGACCACACAGATTGAGCACCACTGCTCTAATTACTCCCCTTTACCTACAGTATCACTATGAGTCATCACTATCGCGCTGATTACCGTGTCACTAATGATGGAGATTGCATAGTTTACAAAATATCATCATTAACATATTTGTGAAATATTCATATATCCTGCATACTTTCTGTTGATTTAGTTTCTTTGCCTAACCTATGTTTGTTTTTATTTTGTTAACAGGATTCTGGCCACAGCAGGAGCCCACATGAATATTTCATTAGACCTGCGCACGCTCAGGGCTGTGAGGGTATTACGGCCCCTTAAACTGGTTTCTGGCATTCCTAGTATGTAATCAAACATTATCTTAATCATATCATTGTATCTATACTACATGTGTATGTAGTATCTTAATCAAACATTGTGTTGTTTCATTTGAAACTGCATCCTAATCAGGTGCAAAGTGATAAAACAAGACATAAAATGCAACAAGCTACATGCAAGGCATTTTCTAAAAAGTGTCCAATTATTTTGGTAGCTGCACAAAGAAATCTCACTGGTCCAAAAACCCACTCCATGTATCTGTAATTTGTCACATCACACTTGGTTAGGACACAGTGTTATAGTTGTTCTTTTACATGTGGATGCTGTAGTGTTAAAAGTTTTTCCACATGTGAAGGAATGAATAGTACAGATTGATATTTTTCTTTTGATTATTTATGTGTAGTAAGGTTTATTGATATCTATATATATTCATGTTTTTTTATAGGTCTGCAAATAGTTCTTAAATCCATAATGAAGGCGATGGTGCCACTGCTACAGATTGGTCTGCTGCTGTTTTTTGCCATTCTCATGTTTGCTATTATTGGATTAGAGTTCTACAGTGGAAAACTCCACAAAAGATGTGTAGCTTTTTCAAACATTACAGGTAAGGAGGATCACACTCTGACAGACACAGGAACAAGAACATGCACAGACCCACACATCCACATATGTACAGACATAGAGTACATCAATATATTTATTACATGTATGTGCTTTTCAGATGCTGGGATCCAAACCAAATATTTAAATCTTTGGGATTCTTAAAAAATGAAAAAAAAAAAAAAAAAAATGAAAACAGTATTTCAGAAAATTTTCAGTTAAAAATTTTTTTCTCTGAAAGTTGACAACCATTTAACATCTTTTAGGGTCACAAATAACTCCATGTTCTTAAAGGGATAGTCCACCCAAAAATGTAGACTGTGTTATCATTTACTCCCCCCTGAAGTAATTCCATATCTGTATGCATTTCTTTCTTCTGTGGAACACTAAAGAAGATATTTTGAAGAATGTTGGTAACTAAAGTTTCGGGTCTCATTGTCTCCCAAAGTATTTTTTGTCCATACAGCAAAAGTCAATAGGACCCAAAACCGTTTGGTTACCAACATTCTTATATATTCCTATAATATATTCCTTTCTGTTCCACAGAAGAAAAAGTTATAAAGGTTTGGAACAACATGAGGGGAAGTAAATGAATCTTCATTTTGTGAGTGGACTATATGCACATGCATGTTATTAAATATTAAATTTAAGATTACTATTGACAAGTATACCATCATTGACATTTGCAAGAGCAGAAAATAAAATTTGGCAATCCTTCCATACAGACCTACCAGTCAGGGGATCGGCTCCTCCCATACAGGAAGTAAACACTTCCTCCTTCTGTTGGCCTCTTCTATTAGCTGCATGATAACAAATAGCAAAACAAGCAAACAAATGACACAGATATATTATTAAAAATGTAAAAGTTGAACACTTATACAGTCAGTATGCAATTCATGAAAAAAAAGTCTTTCTCATCTCATGCAGACTCTGAGAGAGCAGACTCATCTGAACTTGACTTCCCGTGTGGGGCCAAGCCTTGTCCTGAAAATTATAACTGCACTGGCCCCTGGCAAGGACCCAATGATGGCATCACTCAGTTTGATAACATCTTATTTTCCATACTCACTGTATTCCAGTGCATCACCATGGAAGGCTGGACAGCTGTACTCTATAATGTGAGTTACTCTCTCAGCTGAACGATATGTAGCAGTTTTGTTCCTGTGCTTGGAATGATGACACTTCTGTATTATAATCCTAATACATAAAATTATGATCTTATTGTAGTCCAGTGTTGAATCGTTACTTCATGTTAAAGTCTTCCTCGGGAGATCTCACTTGATCATTAATCTACCACATATTGTTGTTAGATGAAACTGGGTCATTAGCTTCTTTGTAGTATTTCACATTATATGCATTTTAATGACTGGTTGTAAAGTACACTGGTTGAGTTTTTGGTTGGATGAGCGTGTCTTTGCTTTTTCTTGATACCGTGGCTTTGGGAGACGTTGATCTGTTGTGTTCATGCAGGCAGCTTACATTTACATTGTTCCCTAATCCTGTTCCTTCTGTTCTCCCCAAAATTAGAACATAAATCATTCTAGTTTTGAATGATGAAATTACACTTATGGTTGGTCCATTTTAGCTGAAATAGTTGCAGTTTATTTTTGAAGAACTTCCTCTTTCCGGATTCTATCCATCTGTGATCGTATTCGTACACTGGTTGTACTTACTGTACAGCATGCAACACTGTGTAGCTTTCCCTGACTTCTGATCTTCTTTCAAGCTGATTCAAGCACAGTAACAACTCCCTTTTCATAACAAGTGACATTTGGAAGGGTTTGTCAAAGTGGTTTTATCTCCAAACAGCTCCAAGTACTGGAAAATGAGGTGTTAGATACAATCTTTATTCTGCATTAGATTATTGGAGCTTTTGGTGAAATTAGCTTGGATGGTTGACTGCTATCATATTAGTGCCATTTATATGCTGAGTTGGCTCTGTTCTTCACTGTCATCCAGTAGTGCTGGTATCTGAGCATGGAAATTCATTTTCTTAGTTTTAATATGTAATTTTTGTGGAGGAGGACTTACTCAGGCTTTCATGCATTTAGTTTGAGATAAAATCTTTATACAACAAAAAGAAAGCTTAGAGACCTTGTTTGAAGGAATTGGAAAGATTGGAGGTGTTACTGTTTGCACCTCTGATGTTTATTCATGATTTTTGAGGATGAGTCGATGACTACATCGACTGCTTTTACCAAGTGCCAAATTAATTTGCACTGAAAAGACCTGTCAGTCCACTTCTGTGTTGTAACACTGCAACATTCCATTAAAACATAAGAATTGTCATTTTTTATTTTTTAAGGTGAATTTTGATTTCTGGTACTTTATGGAAAATCTTGAAAAGCCATGGACATTTCTAGAGTTAATTTTTTTTTCTAGTTATGCTCACCTTTAAAATATTTCATCTGGTGAAAATTATCTTTTGAGGGTCTGATTACTTTAAAATGATTTTTAAAAATCATGATCTCATAATTTTGAATGTCTGGAAGAGTCCACAGTGTTTTTAATCAGTCACATGGTGTCATGCGTTGACGTGAGTCATGCTGACACAGATAGAGGTGTTTTTCACACTCATAACTGAGCTGATGCAGCAGCGTCGGGATGCGGGGAACACCCTCTCAGCTCAGCTGGGCAGCAATGCCACCTGCCCACGCACTGATCACACCCTTTGCACTGCCGAGCAGAGCCCCACTGAATCGTCACCATTGCAAGGGCTTGGTTTATGGTTTTCTGACCATCTGAACCCAGGCATTTAGTAGATTTAGTAGCTACTGCAAATTAAAATCATAATGAATTATTTTCGTTGTTTTAATCACTTCCTGTTTTGTGTTTGCACAGACCAACGATGCCTTAGGCTCTACTTGGAATTGGCTCTACTTCATTCCTCTAATAATAATTGGCTCCTTCTTTGTGTTGAATCTGGTATTAGGAGTCCTGTCAGGGTAAGTATTGTTTTCCACAATGGACTCTTAAGACAAACTGACTCTACATCTAACCCGATGTCTGAGCTGACACAGGGGTAATGAGTTTTATCAGAGGTTAATGTGAAATGTATTAACTTCATCTCTGGAGACAAGAGGTAAGATTAAGTTACTACACATACAGTGGCTTTGTCTGTTTCTCTTTCTACACATCTCTCATTTTTCTGTATTCACAAACACTACCAATCAAAAGTTTTTTGAATATTTTTTAATTAAGTCTTTTGTGCTCATCAAGGCTGCATTTATTTGATGAAAAATACAGTTTAAACCTTAATATTGTGAAATATTATAATAAAAAAAAACTTCTATTTTAAAGGGTTAGTTCACCCAAAAATGAAAATTTTTACTCACCCCAGAGCTATCCTAGGTGTATATGACTTTCTTTCAGAAGTGACGAACGCGGAAACGCAACGGAGAGATCAAAACAAAACAACGGTCACTAATTAGAAGTACAAAACGAGGATTTGTAAAGAAGAATGTCAGAGGATTTCGATATAAGCCAAGAGGAGACTGGTTTTCTTTTGCTCAAGTAAGGAAACGTTGCTTCCTTTGATCCTATAAAAAAACGCTGGTTTTCAAGAGACTCACCGGAGCATGCGCAAGACTGAACTCATACGTCATCAGCCCGGAGCTGCTTCCGTGTACAAATGTTGGTGCAAGCTACATTAAAGTGATTATTACGTTTTGAATATGGATATTTTTCTTACAAAAACGCATCGATTCGCTACAGGAGGCCTTTGTTCACCCCCCGGAGCCGTGTGAGACGCTTTTTTTAATGGATAGGCGCTTTTTTATTTAACTTCTTTTGGACTGATGCGTGCAACACCCGCTGAGTGGCATTAAACAGCTTGAAAGATCAAAGACAATTTTTAATATAACTCCGACTGGATTCGTCTGAAAGAAGAAAGTCATGTACACCTAGGATGGCTCTGGGGTGAGTAAAACACAGCCTAATTTTCATTTTTGGGTGAACTAACCCTTTAATGCATGTTAAAATTTACTTTATTCTTGTGATGGCACAGCTGGATTTTAGCAGCCATTATTCCAGTCTTCAGTGTCAAATGATCCTTCTGAAATCATTCTAATTTGCTGAAAAACATTAAAAAACCTTAATTATTTTAAACTTTTTACCGGTAGTTTAGTTCCAGTGCAAGCTAAATGGGCATACTTCTCTTGTGACATAAAAGCTTATACATTTGAGTATGACGAAAGTCAATACAACAGTGGTGAGACATAACTGAGATTTTAATAAATTGATGACACATACCTCTTTGTCATGTACTATAATGTGAGTATTTGTAAGTTAAATTCATTACCTTAAAATTCAATACATTTTATGTCCAAAAACTTATCAATTTGTTGCCATTTTTTAAAATCTGTTTCTTCATGAAAAAAAAAAATGTTTAAGGGGTCATGTGATGCTATTTTCAAAGATCATTATTTTGTGTATTAGGTGTAACCGAATATATTAGCATGCTTTAATATTCAAGAAACACATTATTTTTCACATACTGTACATTATTGTAGCTCCTGTATTCCCAGTCTTTCTAAAGCGTGTTGATTTCTACAAAGCCCTTTCCTCCAAAAAGCTCAGTGTGCTCGGATTGGCCAGCTGACCCAGTGCATTGTGATTGACCGAACATCACAAGCATGTGTCAGAAATGTAACCATAATCACAAGCTTCAGCTTCCAAAGCAATTATAAAAACAGTTAATAATGTTGTGAGTTTGCACGACTTGAGCAGAATGTATCAGAGTGGAGCGTGACTCTGCCAACAAACAGCAACATAACACACTAAAGAAAAAGGAATACATAAAAATGCATCATATGACCCCTTTAGCAGTGATGATGTAATATGTAGATGCCACAAGTTGGTGTGATTTAAACTTTAAAAAATTATGCAAATTGGGATGCAGCCTCTCTCTCTGCCTTTCATTCCTTCACTCTGCAGGTGAAACACTTTGATAAATTAAGTGTGTCATCCCTGTGGTTCTTCTCTGTGTGGGTAATTGTATTCTGTTGGCTCATGTAGGGAGTTTGCTAAAGAGCGAGAGCGGGTAGAGAACCGAAGATCCTTCATGAAGCTCAGAAGACAGCAACAGATCGAGAGGGAGCTGAACGGATACCGGGCCTGGATCGACCGTGCAGGTACTCTTACATACTGAGCTGGCAAATGCACCATGCAAAACAAATAAAGTAAATCAAATCTGTCAAAACACACTGTGCCACAGCATCGCCCCATTCTACAGCAGATGCTCAGTGCCGTTAAAAAGAGACACACTTGTGAAAGAAAATGCTTCTATTTTGCAATTTTTTCATGGCAAATTATATTTGCTATATATCAGTGTAACAATTCAAGTGAAACATAAACTAGAAATATATACATTTCATAATGCTTTAAATGACAGCAGTTAAATTTCCAAAACCTAATGATCATGTTCATCAGCAAAAATGATCCAGAATGCTCTTTGTGCTAGAAGCAGGAAAATCTGAAAATAAAAAGCGGTGCACATGATCAATGTCACAAATTTGCTTGCTTGTTTAGTGATCTCGAAAAAGTGCAAATCTTAAATATTTCTTATTCATTGGTTTCTTTGTTTAAATTTTACAAAATCCTATATAAATTAGATTTTTAAATGCTAGTTTTTCAGTGAATTGCATGTGTACAACTTGATCAAATGCAAGTGCGTTTTTATTCTGCAGAGGAGGTGATGCTTGCAGAGGAGAACAAGAATTCAGGACCTTCTGCTTTGGATGGTGAGATGTTTGACCTCTTCTGTTTTTCTCTCATTTTCCCACGTAGATTGTGGGATGCAGTTTTTTAATTATGTGTCAGGGTTAGGGTCATATGATTATTTTGAACACACTAGTAAATACCCATTCTCTCTGTCCCAGATTTCATCATTTATTCAATAGCCTGTTCTGGCGTATAAAGCCTGTTCTGGTCCCATAAAACATCACAGGGATTGTATATTCAATAGACTGATGTCACAATAAACAGAACGCCATGATCCTGCTCATGGCGCACATCTGTGAAGCGAAGACCCATCCGAATGACACCCATGACATCCGAACCCTATACAAGGCGACAGGTTTTCCCCAGAATCAAACGTTTTTTTTTTTTATTAAATGTTGATTGACAGCTTCCAAGAGGCTGTGTGAATGGAAAGCAGGCAGTTACCATGGTGAACTGTTATTTCGATTTCCCTGCTGTTCTGCTGTAAACGTCCCATCATCCCATTTAAGATGATTTTCTTAAAAAACTGGGGCCTATATGGAAAACAATTTTTAGGGGGTCAGGAGAGACTGAGACCTGTTTTGGCCCTTGTAAATGAGGCTTGACAGCAGTAGGTATCCAGGTTGCACTCTGAAGAGAGTTTAAAACATAAAATGTAATTGCAGGCATTCGTATTTACTTCATTGTTGCCATGACAACAGCGAAATCTAACAAGCAGATTTATTTGCAATTGAATGCATCCCTTAGTGCCAGCTATTAGGCTAGATGCTTTGATAAATTGGGGAACTTTCAGTTGCTGTTGTCAAGCCTGTTATATTCTATAAATGCTTGAGAAGTAAATTATTACAACGGGGTGATGGCTGTACATTTGTCATATCATGTCCTAAGCTGGCTGCAGTTTTCAGTGATACATAGTTTCTCTGTAGGCATTTAAATCATAAATTCTGCAGGACTCAACAAAATCAAAGCCAACCAAAACATGTTCGATGTTTATGAAAAGTTACCATCATTGATTAAAAAAAAACACAAAAAAAAAACAAAGTAAATATTTTCCAGATAATATTTTAATAATTTGCTTTAGGTTCAGTTTTTCTACCTACCCTGGGGCTACAGATGGAAATTAGCCACCCTGACACATTTTACATTGATTTTATGCATTATTTAAGTGCATTGTCCCTGATTAAATGATGATTAAATAAACAAATAAATACAAATAAAAAATTTATACATAGATTTTTGGAAGGTGATAAACATATTTGGAGTTACATAAAAATGTGAATGATTTTTATTTATTTATTTATAATTGGGAACATGTAATACAATAATTTCCCACACGACATGGGCAGGACTATCCAGCGTGACATGACCAAAATGCAAATCAAGTGTCTGTCAATGTTTTATAACCCGTATATGCTTTTATTTCTTACAGTTTTTGGTTTATTAATCTGTTATTTCTTTAGTTTGAAATAAAAGAAATATAATAAGATAAGATCATGGGATAAATTATTTGGTATGTGTTCTCAGTGTTAAAAAGAGCCACCACAATAAAGAGAAGAGGGGTGGATGATGTTCGGAGAGCTCCAGAGGAACAGTATGCTGACATATCGTCTGTAGGTGAGTGGTTTCCTCCAACAAGTCTCCTTCATATCCCGTCTAGATGATGCTAAATATTTACCCACATGTCGTTATATGCATTTTTTCAGAATATCATTCACATACAGCTGAAATAATCTCCTTACTCAATCAAGAAGTATACAAAAGTGGATCAACTTGTTTTGCTCGTTCATAAATATTTTTGTCCATCAGGGATGCCATTGAACAGAGCCAGCATACGCAGTGCTAAAAGAGGACCAACGTCCTTTTTCCGTCGGAAAGAACGCATGCTAAGGATCTCTGTTCGCCGTATGGTGAAGACTCACACCTTCTACTGGATCGTTCTGAGTCTGGTGGCCCTCAACACTTTCTGTGTTGCCATCGTACACCACAAGCAGCCTCAGTGGTTGTCTAGTCTCCTTTGTAAGACCACAAGCAAAATGAAACTTTTCTCTCTGTGGATTGATCAATAGTCTTAACTTTAAAGTGATTCCTTTCTATTGCAGACTATGCAGAGTTCCTGTTTTTGGGCCTGTTTCTTACAGAGATGTTTCTCAAGATGTATGGACTTGGACCCAGACTCTATTTCCACTCCTCCTTCAACTGCTTTGATTTTGGCGTAAGTGTATTTCTGTCATCCTTCCCATAATCTTCTTTGGAATGAAGATAGCACAACAGTGCAAGTGTCAAAGAGGATCAAGGTGGTGACTCCAAAAATGAGTGTTCATTAAATTTTTTTAATCAAGAAAGATAAAAGCAGTGCAAAGAAATAAGACTGGATGAAACCATAAATCTAATTTGATATTTTTTGAAGTTACGCTTCTCCACTCTGAGCACTAATGAACTTGTCTCCAATGTCTATGTAAATTTGAGGACCCAGCACTGAATATCAATGTGTAGCTTTATTTAAAGGTGGGGTAAGCAATTTCTGGTAACCAATGTTGACATTTGAAATCACCAAAACAAACACGCCCCTACCCCAAAAGGGTCTCGGCCCTATTTTGATAGCTCCGCCCCACACATACGTACGCAACCCAGGCAACGTTTAGTTCTGTGAAACAAAGCAAAACCAATGTTACACCGTGTCTACACC